TTTTTTAACACAGCTTCCCTCAGAGCTCTGGGAACCACCACTTGCCACCTCTCCTCGCCCAATCGGTTCTTTCAAGGCTGTCTGGAGCACTCCATCCTTCACCTGCAAGCCCTCAAAGTTCACACACAATCATTTAGTGGCAGGTGAGTACCTGATAACTTCTTCCCACTGGGACCTTTGCCCTGACTCCACCCACTGCCGCACCAGTTGCAGATCAGGGTCCTGTTCTTGCTGTGTTCTCCACTCAGGTGCGTCGACAACCTGTGACTCCTCCCTCCTCTCACAATAACGACTACTGTCGGTGGCACATGGGCAGTGGGACATGGCATCAGCATTAGCATGATGAGTTCCAGCTCTGTATTCCACAGTGAAGGTGTATGCCGCTAGTCCTTCTAGCTAGCGTGCAATCTGTACCTCTGGCTCTTTGAAGGACATCAACCACTGGAGAGCTGAGTGGTCCGTCCTGACAGAGAACGGTAGGCCACACAGGTAGTACCTGAAGTGACTCACCGCTCTCACAATCGCCAGCAGCTCCCTGCGTGTCACACAGTAGCATCGTTCAGCTTTATTGAAGGTTTTTAATGAAGTATGACACCACTTTCTCCCCCTCCAGTCTCCTTCTGGCTTGGCACCGCTCCCATTCCCATGTCGCTGGCATCGGTGTCCAAAACGGCAAGTCAGGGGCTGGGGGGGGTGAGGACTGGGGACTCCATCAAGGCCTTCTTCAAAGTGCTGAAGGCCTGCTCACAATCTATCATCCATATGAAATCACCGTCCTTCTGCTGCAGGTGAACAGGGGCGCGGCTATGCAAGAGAACTCGCGTACAAACCGCCTGTAGTAGGACGGCAGCCCAATGAAGCTCTTGAGCTGTCAGCGGTTGGTGGGGGCTGGCCAGTCTTTCACTGCACACATTTTTTCCTCTAGCGTGCTGATGCCCTCTCCTCCAATCCTGTGCCCCAGACACTCCAGCTCCCTCCTCATGAAGCAGCACTTGTCAGGGTGGAGCTTCAGTCTGGCCACTGCTATCCTCTGCAGAATCCACCTCAAGGCTTCTAGAGCCCCTTTGAAGGTGCTACCGTGGACCAAGATGTTGTCCAGGTAGACCAGGCACTCCCATCTGGGGATGTGAGTCAACACCTTCTCCATCAGCTGTTCAAACGTGTTGCACAGGCCAAAACAGAGGACCCAAGACTGCCACAATCCTCTTCCAGTGCAAAAAAGCAATCTTTGGCCTGGCTGACGGGCTGAGGGGTACCGTCCAATATCCACTGCTCAGGTCCAGTGAGGAAAACCAGGACGAGCCAGACACTAAGTCCAGCGACTCGTCGATGCGGGGCAGTGGATAGGAGTCTTTCTTGGTCACACTGTTCAGTGGCCTGTAGTCGACACAAAATCTCATCTTTGGGCTCCTTTTCTTGTTGACCATCACAACCCCCGAGGCCCAGGGGCTATCAGACGGCTCAATGATGCCAGCCTTCAGCATCTCGTCGATTGCGTCGTCGGCCGCTGCTTGGTGAGCTATGGGGAGACGCCGAGGGCGTGTCTTGATGGGCCGTGCATCGCTGGTGTCGATTTCGTGTTGCACCAGGTGTGTCAGGTCCACTTCCTCTTCTGTCAGTGCAAAAATGTCCTTAAACTCCAACAACACCTGCCACAGCTCCTCCTGCTGTTCAGGTTCCAAGCTGTCGCAGCTGCGCTTCCAAATCTCCCTCACTGCAGCCAGTCTGTCTGAAGCAGAAGGCTGCACAATGGCTGGGGTAGGGGAGGAGAGGGGCACAGGAGTGCAAAGAGAAGCTTGGGGTGGGGGATCTGGCCCATGGTGAATCTCGGCTGCTCTTGCAGCTCCCAGTTGTAGTCTCAGGGCCTGTGTGGAGTGCACCAATTTCACCGCTGGGCCCTCCGGGAAAGCCAGCGTATTCCTCCCCAAGTCTAGCACACAGCAGGCGGTCCTCAGGAAGTCAAGTCCTATAATGCAGGGGTCTTGGACTGCAGTAACCCAAACTTTAAAGTCCATTACAAACCCTCCGACCTGCATAGTCACCGTCCCTCTTCCCAGCATAGGGGCAAGTCTGCCAGTCACTGTTCGCAGTTTCACCTCCGTCGGTTCCAACATTGTCCCCGCTGGGATAACATCTGGTCTCAACAGCATTGCAGTGGAGCCTGTATCAACTATTCCGTAGTTCTGTATCGCAGACTCGATGGCGTCATCTGCTTCCGGGGGAAGTGGAGCCAGACTCCCCTGTTTGTGCTGCTGGGCTCCGGCAACTGGATACGGAATGGGGCAGGGCATGGGGACAAGGGTCTGTGACGCCCCATCTATGCAGACCCCATGCCACTTCCCCTGACACCAGTCTGTTTAGGGCACTGTATGCTGATGTGGCCCGCCTGACCACAAACCCAACACATGGGAGGACTGCGACGAGGTCGGGTGTTATTGCGTGGCGGTTGTCGTGACACGGCCCGGATCAGTTCAGTCGAGTCAGCGACCCAAGCTTCTCTTAGTGAGTCTGCCGTCACCGCTGTCGCCTTCTGCAGGTCCTCCAATCATCTCCCTCTCCAGTGCCAGCTCCAGGGCCTCCTTCAAGGTGCCAGGATGTGGCAGTTGTGTCTGAATGTGCAGCTCTCTGGGCGCTATAGCATGGACGAACTGGTCCTGGGCTAGTTCACTCTGCACATCGGTGGGCATGAGGGCATATGCCCTCCTTGTTAGGGTCTTTGTGTTGTTAGCCAACAAACAAAGTGGCTCCAGACTTTCTCTGTCGGTTAGACAGCTCTGAGCGCGCACGTGCGCGCGCACACACACACACACACACACACACACACACACCTACACACACACACACACACACACACACACACACCTCAGTAACAGCAAACGATCATCCTGACTAAACAATAGTGCAACGTAAACTACAGGGTCACTACAATATTACCGAATGTTGTTACTTTAGCTCACATACAACAATGCAATGTTAGCTCATGTTCTGACTTCAATTCAATTTTATGTCTGTAGTACAAATTCATATACACAACATATGTCATCTGACAGCGTTTAAGGGACCTTACTGATTCTAAACAGAGAAACCAGTAACCAAAATTTGCCTTTGGATTCCCTTTGAGCAAGCGGTCGGCAGCCTAACAGGTCATTCACTTAACAAACAACAATGTAATGCTAGCTAACGTAGTATTTTTAGTTAAAATAGTTTATTATGTAAAAGTCATCTACTTTCCCGGTTAATCTTTGGAATCTTCGCTGAGTTTAACGCGGAATCAAAACTGGACCTGCTGCATTCCCATTAAACCACCACGGTCACACAAATACTGGCAACATGTCTGATGATGTAAAGTTGCCGGCAACAGTTGCCAGGAGACGAAGAAGCGCTGAGCCACTCAGTCGGGTTATAAAAGGCGTCCGTCGGCCCAGCACGGATCTGGATGGAGGAGGTTCATGTCAGTGGAGGTAAAGCCGACACTCGGTCTGGGTAATTATTTATATGGTTGTCCACTGTTCACTGTTTCTGCTGTGTTTCGTTGTAAAGAATTATTTTGATATGTTTTAATGAGGAGAACTTGTGTTTTAGCGAAACTGCCGGTATGTTCGTCATGTACAATTGCATAATCAGTGATATTGTAATAATCTTTATATCTAATTTAGACATTTAAATGCGTATTTTATATCAAATTGTTGGGTCTTCATATTTAAACCTACGAGATAAATTTGTGAAAACGTACTCGAACACCAATAAATGAGTTCAGCGTCCACGGTTACAGGAATTTCTGCCGGGTTTTGACCTGAATGATTATGCATTTAAAACCAGCTTAATTTCTTAAATCATA